CATGAAAATCGCGTACACAATTTTAGCACGCAGGTCTGTTTTACTAGCAAGGCCGGCCTCTTTTTCTTGTGTGTGTGGGATGGGGGGACGTGTGGTTTGTGCTGTGGAGAGCGCAGTGTGTAGGAGAGTTTTCAGAGAGCTGTTTGGTCGATAGTGTGACTCTTCCTTTCAGGGAGGGTCGAACATGGAAAGGAAACCTAGTTTTGTGGCACTGGAAGTGCGGGTCATGATTCTTGTTCTCTTTACTACCTGGCCAAGGGAGCTGAAGAGGTGTCGTCCAGGCTCGGCTTTCAGTCGCCTGAGGCAGCTGTCAGTAAGCCTTAGGGCGCACCTGGGCTGCTCCGAATACTTTATCCAGGGCTCCACGCCAGGACAGGGCTGCGGTCAGGAGGCAGGGCATTTGGAGCGGAGAACCTCTGTGATGCCTCTGGGTGAAGGTTAAGAACAGACGGGAAGACCTCATCCACACCTTTGCTTAGCTTGAGCTGCCTCCCAAGCCAGGCAAAGACACACACACACGGGCATTGGGCCACATGGGCAGTGGGGCCTGGCAACCCATGGGGCACGTGGGCACATGCCTGGAGAGCCCTGGGTGCCACGGCCCACCTGGCCCCAGCTGGTCTGCACCTGGCGTTCCCGTCCATGGGCGACAGCTCACCGTCCGTGGCGTCCACTCTCCCACCGTTTCCTCCTGGCCCTGCCGCTGAATGTGGGTGCAACGTCTCCCCACTCTGGGGCTTTTCCCTGGTAGGTTAAAGAAGAGACACAGAAACTCAAAAGTTCACTTGATAAGTGAAAATCTTTTGGGGTTTCCACTTGAACATCTGTATATTGAATTCTGAAGTCAGAGTCAAAGCAGGTAAGTTCTGGGGCTCGTAAATTTGATTCAGAGTTCAGTGTACACTTAACAAACTTAAGTACGGTTAGAGTAATGGGATCGGCGGTGATTGGTTTTGTCTTTGCTTTTCGTAGAAGAATGACGTGGTAGTCATCTTATTTTAAATTGCTCATTAGAGTTGCAGTCTGCAAACAATGCTTCCAATAACTCTTCCCCCGTGGAGTAGTCTTGCCCTTTACGCGCTAGTGAGAGCGCAGCTGCAAACCATTTTAGCTCACTTAAAAATGAGCACATCTCAAGCCTGAATTCGGGACCCAGTGGCGCACCTGCCCTCTGGAAGCCAACTCAGGGTGCCCCACAGAGAATAAGCACACATTCAGGATGGCGGCGTGTGGGGCAGGAGTGAACAAGAGTGAAATGGTCACCTGCCCTTGTGGTTCGTCCGCGTTTTCTGAGGGCTCCAAGGACAGAGGGTCCCTGTGTCAGAGGATCAAGAAACAGGCCCGGCATCTAAGGTTGTGCTGTGTATGAGGAGTGTTTAATCTGGTTTGTTCTGACTGCTTTCACTTTGCAGGCTTTGCTCTACAGATAATCTGTTCTAAATCTAATAAGGTGGAATGTCTCCCTCCACGCAGTGAAGCGTGAGATCTCGGCGTTGCCGGGGGGTAGTGCGGGAGTCAGGCACTGTTTGTGATTGCTGGTTTCATTAAAGCCCCACAGCAGTATTGTGTTTCTGGGAGTTTTGCCTTCCTGTGAATTTTAATCCCCAGCAGCCCCGGTGGCTGTTTTCATTCTTTATGTAATGATGGTGGAAAGAGCTCCCTTGGCTTCTGGGTTCTGGCTGACAAGTAGATACAGTGAGACTGCATGTGGCCCTGCTCTGCGTTTCCGCCCTTAGTGAGCTCTGAGCAGCGGGAGGGAGGGAGCAGGGCCCCTGTGCAGGTGGCAGCCAGAGGAGAGGGGCTCGCAGAACTAGATTGGCTCAACACGGAATTGTGCTTGTTTTCTGAACTGAGAAGCACCCAGAAGCCGTGTGGGTTGTACATTTATAGTTAATGGTGCCAGTGGCGTTCCCGATCTGCAGATGGTGGCCCAGGGATGACCTCAGGGCACTGTTACCTGCAGATGCAGCTCTGGCACCCCAAGTCAGAGTCCTGAATCTGTACATGCCCAGATGTTTGTCCTAGTAGAGGGACCTAGCTCGCGTGAGCTCATCTGTCCTGAGTGTGATTTTTCCACAGTGTGGCCTTGAGAATGGTGTCTGTTAGAATGAATCTAGTGAGATGGGACGTATTTTATCTCCCGCTTCCTTTACTGTTTCGTTGCGATGCTATAATTTGGTTTTCCGCTTGAAAGGTAAGCACACGCCACCGCCTTGGAATTGTTAGCGGAGTTCTGGAGCTAACCTCACACGCAGGCCTGGTTTTGCCAGCTTGGAGGGGTGGAGGCCTGGGGCCCTGGCTGGTCACCATCGGCAGTGAGGAGGGGTGGAGGCCTGGGGCCCTGGCTGGTCACCATCGGCAGTGAGGGGGGTGGAGGCCTGGGGCCCTGGCTGGTCACCATTGGCAGTGAGGAGCACTGCGCTGGGATGGTGCGCCTGGGGGTAACTCCCGAGATTCTTGAGGGAAGCTGAGTTTACCTGAGGATAACATTTAGCATCTGCAGGAAGCCAGACTCTCTAGGCGACATCTTTCGAAAGTCACGGTGTGATGACGATCAGGCCACACAGACGCGAGCCCAGGCCAACTCTTGAGCGTTCTCCCCACGCCACCTCTTCCCGTCCTCACAGGAACCCTTGGGGCAGGTCCCACACCTAACCCAGCACGGAGAGGTTAAATATGTAGGTGCAGGTGCGCCGGCAGGTGGCGTCTGTGGGCGTCAGTCCTGTGCCGGCATGGTCACTCGTGGGGCGGGCATCTGGTGGCTGCACACACACCCCGTTCTGTGCCTGGCTCATCCTTTACCTGGCCTGAGCCCCATCCTCCAGGCAGAGCCACCAGCGGGTGGAAGCCCCATTCTGGAGCCCCTGGTTCACTAAGTTTCCTCCACAGAAAGTTCTGTGGGCCACTCTGAGTGCCAGAATGTCTGCTCACCCCCTATCCTGCCACCGCCCCCTCTTCCTCCATAAGTAAACAAGACCAAGCAAGAGCACCCCAACAGTGGCTGGGTGGGGCAGCCCACGCCCATGACCCCAGAGCTTCAGGAAGCCAAGGCAGGAGGACCACTGGAGCCCGGTTTGAGACCAACTCCAGCAACAGAGCAAGACCTCATTTCTTCAAAAAAGAAAAATTGCACCTGGGTGTGGTGGTGTGCGCCTGGAGTCCCAGCGACTCAGGAGGCCGAGGGGGGAGAAAGGCTTGAGCCCAGGAGTTTGAGACCAGCCTGAGCAGCGTAGCGAGATCCCTTCTCTACAGCTGTTTTAATTAACCGCCATCTGTTTGGGAGCATGAGGTGGACGACTTGAACCGTGAGGTCAAGGCTGCAGTCAACCACGATCGCACTGCTGCACTCCAGTCCGGGCCACAGAGCCAGGCCCTGTGTCCGAAAGAAAAAAGACAGTGGCACAGAGATAAGCACTGGGGGCAGCAGACAGACCATGATGGGGACACGTGAGGGCCACGGAGGGTGGCGGAGAGGCTCCCCCTGGCAGGCAGGTGGCAGAGTTCCTCACACCTGTGGCGGCCTGGCCCTTCCCCCGGGCTGGCCCAGGGGCTTCTCTGAAGGTGAGGAAACTGCAGACAGAAGTCCAGAGGGTGAGAATAAGAGCAGAGCCATCTTGGAGAAGTGGGAGGATGTGCGGGAGCCCTGGAGTCTGGACCAGGCCCCGGGACAGAGGTGCTCTGGGTTTGCGGGAGTCCCTCTAGGGTGCTTGGTCACTTGCACCTTCCCACACTGTCAGCGGCAGTCCACGTTGTTCTTATCCACCTCTTCCAATACCGTGTGTGAAAATGGGAACTGTCACTGGTGAGGCTGAACGCCGCTCCCTACTCATTTTTAAACCGTTCTGTGCATCCCTTGTTCTTTGTTGCCCAGCTTTTTAGTGGGCTGCCTATCATATTCTCATTAATTTTTAACAAGCTTTTATATAAAATTTATCTGTATGTCATACATACTGCAGTTTCTCTTTTACCTTCTGCCTTTTAATTGTTATTAAGACAGACATTTTTGTGTATATGTCAGTTTTTGAAATATGAAGTGTAATTTATTCTCAGTACAATGCCGGCTCTTAAGGGCACTGTTGAACAGGTGTGCCCTGCCCCGTAGACACGCGACAGGTCGGACATTCCATCCACTGGGACGTTTTCTCCTCCCTCCATCCCCCCACCCTACCCCACAGAGGCAGCCTTCTGATTTCTGTCCTTGTGTGTTAGCCTTTTCTGTTTTAGAATTCTACATGAATATAGTCAGCCCTGCATATTTTGGGGTTTCACCTCCACTGATTCAGCCAGCTGAGAATCAGCCCGCAGGCACTGAGAGCCGCCGTCCGCATTCCATGCCGGCTTGGTGGAATGTGTGGGTGCAGAGCCCCAGCGGGGGGTCTTTCAGTCTCACCTCGTCTCTGCTCGTTCACCCTTGTGCCGATATCTGCTGTTCAGCAGCTCAGCGTGTTCTCCTGTGTGTATGGTTATTCTTTTTCATGGTTAGGTGGATTCTCCCCTATGAACACACGTCATTTGTCAACTCTCCACCTTCGAGGGAGCATGTGGGTTGCGTCCAGGGTGTGACCAGAGCTGCCATGCACATGCTCGTACAGGCTTTCTGTGCGTGTGCCTCCTCTCTCAGGGCAGGTGTGTGTTTAACTTTATAGGAAGGTGCCAAGCAGTTTTCTAAAGTGGTTGTACCATTTCACACTCTCTTCACTGGCTTTGTATGGTTCTCAAAATAGCATTTCCAGCTTGCAACATACTCCTCTTGCAGATTTTCTTCTAGCAAGCCAACAGCTTTTTTTTTTAATGTTTTCCGCTTAAAAGGTGAGATGTGCCCAGAGCTTGGAATGGCCCTGACTTGTGTTTTGGACTCAAATTGCAGCCATGCAGGGGAGAGCAGTGCCTGGGGCAACACCGGAGCAGACGTGCTGGGGCCTGGGCTGGTTCCGTGGGTCTCCACTGGGTCTCTGAGTCAGCCTGGGCTCTGACCCTCTGTCTCCTCCTCCCACTTGCAGCAACAGCAGGAGATGCTGGCCATGAAGCACCAGCAGGAGCTGCTGGAGCACCAGCGGAAGCTGGAGAGGCACCGCCAGGAGCAGGAGCTGGAGAAGCAGCACCGGGAGCAGAAGCTGCAGCAGCTCAAGAACAAGGAGAAGGGCAAAGAGAGTGAGTGTGGGCACAGAAGGCCGGGCAGAGGGAGGGAGTGCAGGCACGGAAGGCCAGGCAGAGGGAGGGAGTGCAGGTGCAGGAAGGCTGGGCAGAGAGAGGGAGTGTGGGTATAGAAGGCCGGGCAGAGGGAGGGAGTGCGGGCACAGAAGACCAGGCAGAGGGAGGGAGTGCGGGCATGGAAGGCAGGGCAAGGGGAAGGGAGTACGGGCACAGAACGCCGGGCAGAGGGAGTACAGGTGCAGGAAGGCTGGGCAGAGGGAGGGAGTGCAGGCATGGGCTCTGGAAGGTGGAGAGCAGAGGGAGGGAGTGCAAGAAGGCACTGGGGCAGCACCCCAGGGAGTGGATCTAGGGGCGGCTGAGCCTCACCTTGGTGACTCTTGCCACTTCGCCTGTGCTGGGTTTCTAAGAAGTAGGTTAGGAATGGAACCCCCCACCCCTGGTAGGGACAGTGAGTGTGACAGTGTGTCAGGCCACCCATGGTTAGCTTCTGCAGTGGACCAGAGTCCATGGATTTATCTTCGTTTAGGGCTACAGGATTCAATATCGACATCAAAGCAAGGGGCATTCAGCCTGACTTTTGGTTTGATTTAAAGATTTTAAAGACTATTTGGCAGGATTCCTAATAGACTTAAAAATATTAAAAGCCGTAAAGCATTCCAGATGCACAGTGAATTTTATCTGTGAGTTCTGCCCTGCGTTTTTCAAAGTACTTTTCTTTCGGGAGCACTTTGTAAGTGCCTTGAAAGCAGCTGTTAGGTTGTAGAGTGACACACTGCCCAGTGAGGGCCAGCAGCATGCTTTTCCATGTGCTCCTTCCACGCTCAGTTCTGCCTTCTGTGATGGCTGTGTTTGTGCGTCTGGAGACCAGCGTGTCCTGTTTTCTTCTAAGAAAAGCCCGTGGTTGGTACTAGCCAGGAGAACATTCTAGTTGGTGTTTCTCCCTTTGGAAAAATTAGAGGGATGCATCTACTGAGGGAAAGGTCACAGTGTCGTGCCTGTGACTGCAGACTGCTGGGCCAAGAGCCCGTGGGCGCCTCTGCACAAGGAGGGCACCCCATGTCACCAGTGTGTCTGAGCCCTGGCGTGTCCCTGCATGGGGCTGAGTCTGCTCTAAGCATCTTCTCAGATCTTCACTTAAAAGAACCCTGGACTCAGTGAGTGTTTGTGTCCTTTCTGTGGTCACTTGTTTTAAGTGATACAGTCAGGATCTAATCGCCAGATCGAGGGCACTTTCACAGGTGCTGCGAGTTTCTGCCCAAGACTTCCGGACACACTGAACTTGTTTGTTCCCTGGTAATGCTGAAAATGAGTCAAAGTGGTCATTTGCCTCAGGTAATAGGACTCCAGGTGAGGAGAGCAGAGCAATTTACTCTTGTAGGGCTGGCTCATGAGTAGGAAGAGAAGTCTTCATGCACTCCCCTCCCCCAAAGATAACTCCTCTCCTGACGTGTAACAGGGAAGATTAATTTTGCCTGCTTTAGACATGTATATAAATGGAACCCTTAATAGGTAGGATTTTTGTGTTTTGCTTCTTTCTCTGGACATTATGCTTGTGAAATTCGCCCCCACTTTGCATTTAGCAAGAGTTCATTCATTATCTATTATGTATTGCTGCATGTGCCCCATTTATAAATGCACCGATGTAGTCATTTCTTCTTAAGTTAAATTCTTCTCTTAAGCCAGATTTAATGCTTCTTTCTGGAGATCCGGAGAGCAGTAAAAGGCTCGTCTACCCAACTCTTACTTGCCTGTGGCCTCTCATTCAGCAGACACGAATCGCATACCCACTCTGCACCCAGTCTGGCACCACACACTGTGGATATAAACACGACCTGGCTCATTTCGTAACCAGAGCTATTAAAAGCAGTGCTGCTGTGTGCATTCTGTACATGTTTCTTGGTACCTGTGGGCAAATGTGAAGGGGAGTTGCCGACGTGTAGGCCATGCATGTTGTCACCATTCATATGTGATATCCAAAAGTTTTCAAAGTAGTGCACCACTTTGCACACCTACCAGCCACGTGCAGGGGTTCCTCTGGCTCCATGTCTTTACCAACACTTGCTGCTGTCAGTCACTTTAATTTCAGCTCCTCCTCATGCCCTCAGCTGCATTTCTTTGATTGCCAATAAGATGCAGCTTATTTTCATAAGTTTTTTGGCCAAATAAGTATTTCCCTTTTTGTGAAGTGCTTGTTCAGATCTCTTGTCCATTTTTCTGAGGAGGTGTGTCTCCCTTTTTCTTGATTTGGAGTTGTTCTTTTTATGCTGTGGAATCAAGCCCTTGGCCAGCTGCACATGCTGTAAATCTCATCTTCCACTCTGCACTTTGCCTGTTCACCTCTTAATGGCATCTTTCAGGCACAGAAATTCTCTCTTACACAGTTTCAGCCTTTTCCTTTCGATGATTTTGTGCCTCTTCAAAATCTTGGGTATGTCCTTTTTAATTATCTCCTAGGAGCTGATTCCACCCAGAATTGATACAAATGGGCTTTTGTGATTGCATTGACTTGGTTCAAATTGGGAAGATGTGATATTTTTGCAACATTGATTATTTAGCTTCTTCAATTTTTTAAAATAATTTCTTAATAGTTTTATGTTTAGGAGGCTTGCATATATTTGATTAAATATATTTCAAGCCATTTGATGGTTTTGGTTGCTATTGTGAATGGCTTGGTGTTTGTAATTTTGAAAAGCAGTCAGTTTTTAGCTGTTGATTTTGTGTCCAGCAACCTTGTTGAACTCAAATATCCTAATCATGAATAGATTGTTTTGGATTTTCAACATTTAGAATCATGTCATCTATGAATAATGACAAGATTGCCTCTTTTCTAATTGGAATACCTTTTATGTCTTTCACTCGCTGATGTTATAGAATGGGCTGAGATTGTCAGTAGAATATTGAATTGAGGCCATGACGGCAGGCACACTTGTCTGGTTCCCAATTTTCTCTTCAGTGCCATGTTTTCTGTAGGGGCTTTGTATTTTTTGCTCATTTGTCTACTTGTTTTTGACAGGTGCTATTTATTAGATTATGGAAGTTTCCCTTCCATTCCTTGTTTGCTCAGGGTTTCAGTACGAATGGATATTGATTTTTATCAGGTGCTGTTTCAGCATCTTTTGAGATGATTATATGATTTTCTGTTTTATTTGGTTAATGAAGTAAAGTATATGGATTTATTTGAATATAAATTCTAACTGGCATTTTAAAAATAACTCCACTCAACTTGGTTGTAATACATTATCTTTTATGTAGTGAAAATTTGGATTTGCAAATATTTTATTTTATATGATTGCAACTATGTTCATGAGGGAGACTGCCAAGCAGTTTCCTTTCTCAGAACGTCCTCATCGAGTTTTGGCATCTTTACTGTGCTGGCCTCAAAATGAGTTAAGCATCATTCCTCTCTCCTTTTGTATTCTCCAGCAAAGTTTATTTAACATGGATATTATTTTTTCCTTAAGTATCTTGTGAAACTTACCGTTAAAGCCATCTAATCCGAAAGTTTTCTTGGTGCAAAGGTATTTGATTACATATTCAATTTTTAAAATAGCTTAGGGACATTTCCCCCCTTGATCAGTTTAGTTAAGTTGTATTTTTTCTAAAGGAATATATGCCTTTGTTATACATTTTTGAATTTTTGGTATGGTGGTTTTTGCTATCGTGTCTTTTTCCGGTGTTATTGATGTTTGTCAGACCTTTAGTGATGTCTTCTTTTTCATTCCAGAGATTGGTTGGTTTGCTCTTTCTCTTTATTGCTGTTTTGTTTTGCTTTTGTTTTTCTCATTCTGTCCAGAAGTTTAGCAGTTATTCTTTTCAAAGAACTAACTTTTGACTTTATAGATGTTGTTTGTTGAATATCAATTTTCTTAATTTCTACTATTTTTATTATTTTTCTATCTAATATTTTCTTAGGGTGTATTGTGTGGCTTTTGTAGCTTTTTGATATAGATACTTAGAGCCTTGATTTCAGCCTTCTTTTCTAACATAACATTTATTAGCTATACATTTTCCTCTAAATGCAGCTTTATCTGCATCCCATGGGTTTTGATATGTCGTTTGACAATCTTTGTCTTTCAGTTCAGTTTGGCCCATTTACATTTAATATAATTATTGATATGTTTGTGCTTAAATCTATTATTGTACAATATGAATTCTAATTATCTCAAGTATTCTAATTCACTTTTCTTGCTTTTATTGTATTTTTAATGATATATATATATATTTCTGCAGCTTGGTAATCACTATTTTGCTGTTTCTTTACTGATTACCATTAGAATTTCAACAACCATCTTTAATCTATCATAGCCTTATCTAAATTAATATTTTTGGGATACTTGACTCTCAACTTATATACTATTTTCACCTATATTTAACTCTAAATTTATCTTTAACATCACAAGACATTGCTATTATTACTATATATAGTCAAGATTTACTCATAAATTTATCTTTTATACTTGTATTCATTTCTGCATGTCCGAACTTTGGTCTGTTATGTTCTTTAATCCTTTACTTTAATGCAGGTCAGATGGCTATGAATTTTTTTTCTGTTCAAAATGTGATTTCACGTTAATCGTTGAAGGTTATTTTTGCCGAGTATAGAACCCTAGGTTTGTATTTATTTTCCTTCAGCACTTTGAGAATGCCGTTCCAGGCTCTTCTGACTTCCATTGTTAACCTCCAAAAAGTAGCTGTCCATCCTATTGTTCCTTCTTTGGAAATAATCGTTTTTCCCTGGCTATTTTTAAGATTTTGTCTTTGGGTTTTTGAGGTTCTTCTTTGATGTGCTTAACTGTAGTTTTTTACATTTTAATTTCTTCTGCTTGGGATTTGTAGTTCCGAATCTGTTGTTTCATACTGTTAGCAATTCCTAAACATGATTATTCTCAAACTTTATCTCAACAAAAACTGCCTTTGCCTCAGTGTCTCCATGTAACCTGTCTGGGACTTTAGTTATAAGCCTGTGTTGGATTAGCTTTCAGTACCCCTAAGTTTCT